AGGGACCTGCTGGACTGCTCTGTGAGCATACATTGTTAGGGACCTACTGAACTGAATTTTCCAAAATGAAGTATTTGTATTCATGAATGTTTTCCTGATCATTAGTGTAAAGTCTCACCGTGTATTAAGCCCAGACTTGGCTTTGACACTTACCAAGCAAGTTATGTCCATAACATGTACAAAAAGGTTTGGGCACTTGGTTTCATTTGAAGCAACAGTTATATTCATGAAAAATAATAACAGTTCTTCTATCACTCAAAAAACAATGTACCAATGATTTTATGCTCCAATGATTTAATGTTTCAGTGTTCAGAAACATCCACCTTGCTTAAAGAAAGCAGAAAACACTTTTACCAGATAAACGTACATTTAATACATTTTATGTGAGTAATTATTAGAGAATAAAATCTGTTTGTTTGTTAAAAGATTCATTAGCAGTTCTGAAGTGTATTTCCCATGCTGCACTCATTCTTCCTCACGTAATGAGTTTCAAGTCATAATTTACTCTCTTTAGTTATGCCAGTTTCTACCACATGTCTTGCTGGCTCTCCAGGAACTCCTGCATGTAAGGAATATGACAAGGACTCTCAGTTTCCCCCTGGATGGTCAGATTCTACACTCATATAACTAAGTGTAGCAGGGCAGGTGGGGTTTTTTTAAATTTAGTGCATTTTTCTTAACACTTACCTTTTCTAATATATCTATATGATTTTGTCTTGCAGAATTAAAATGGGCCTTGTGTAAAAGCAGAGGTGGAGAGGTCCAGAAAGTAAAAATCCAGACCAAGATTTTGTTTCAACCAAACAGTTGAGTATAAAGAGTCACAATCAAAGATCACTCAGCTGGTTGGTTGAAACAAAATCTTGGTCTGGATTTTTACTCTCTGGACCTCTCCACCTCTGCTGTAAAGCTTGTGTGTAAGTATGGTCACCTTCTGGGCGTGGGTTTTCTGGTGAGGTGGTTGTGGACCTCTGCAGCAGCCGTGGCCCAGCAAGGCTTATGCTCAGGGCCCCTATGGGAGCAGTGGTGAGGATGGCCAGCACTGCCACTGTGAGGATGTCCATGCCAAACTTCTCTAGGACAGCGTCCCCCTGAGCTTGGGCCATGTCCAGGGCCGTGGAGCCAATGGCAGCCTTAAAACCATACATAGCTAATCAGAAACCCCTTCAAGCAGTGAGATCGCACATTTACCTCCATTCCAACCCATTAAAAAAATACTTTTTAAATTTTTACTTCAGAAATATCTCCAATAACTGCAAATTATAATAAATATGAACACTCGCTGAAAAAAGTGTTGTCTTCAGTTTGCAGGAGCATTTATTAATGCCCATATAGCATCTTAAATCTGGAATAATAATCTACTCTTTAGCAATCGGTATTATTTATTTAAATGTATTTGTTTGTTTTTAACCTGCACTGTTGCCTTTGGGAGCCAAGCCAGAGCGATGAAGACCTTCTCCTTGAAAGTGAAGCCCGCGAACAGGACCATGGTGAAAGTGAACAGAACTCGTACAACGAGCCCAGTGCTGAGAGCTGCTAGACCCAGAGCTGAAGGCACAGTTTGGGCAGGTTTGGACAAGGGTTATACAAGTTCAAGTTCAGACACATAAACCACAGGAGCAAAAAAGAGATATTATACTACAGACTTTCAAACAGCATGGTCATGGTCTCTAATTTTGGGAACATTAATCATTTTACTACAATAAACCAAAATTATGAAGCTTTCCTGTTACTTTCAGTGACTGATTTTGAGATAGAAGTCACACCTAAGGTTCAGGTCAGGTTGGAGAGCATGCACTGGTACAGTGCTTTGCCACACCCACCACTTAACGGGACACTTCAGGATCCTGGGTTGGCATCCCCCCAGGTTGACAGGGTACCACCCTCTGGAAATGGCTATCTATCTGCCGCGGCCAAGTGTTACATGGACGTCCCCTTGGCGTGGTGCAACCACTCGTGAGCTGGACCACCCTCAGGGAATCGTGCCAACAGCTCCTTTGAAAAATTAAGTGGTAAAAACCACCATACACTCCCCAGGGTTTAACAATCACACACGCTCTTACAAACAGGAGTGCTGCACTTCGGAGCGCAAATCCACGGGTTCAGGTTGGCATGCCAGCCTGCATCAATACAAGCAAGGCCTTCGTGGGGCACGTCCAGCCTATTATTCTAACTGTATTGATGCCAACAGAAATAACCATCACTACCACTTTAAAACAACTGCTCAGCTAACAGAGAAGGTTGGACCTCTGCTACCCAGTAATTTCAGTAGCCAACATTTTTATGAACTTCTTTAATGATAAAATTTCAAACATTAGACTTCAAACATGTTCAGACATTAACTTCAATGTAAACGGAACGTGAACACACCCTTAATGTTTTTGAATGAATTAATAAACAAGAGCTATAATTATAATTAAGATCAAACCAACCACTGGTCCACTGCACCCAATCCCCACTAAGCTTCTTAAAGAATCCCTGGGAGCTCTGACAAGACCTATAACTGCCATACTGAATGCATCCCTGTCATCAAATGATGTTCCTGACTAATTTAAAGCAGCAGTAATCAGGCCACTCCTGAAGAAGCCAAGTTTGGACCCACAAGAGTTCAGCAATTACAGACCTGTCTCTAACGTACCTTTTTACCAAAAGTTCTGGAGAAGATACTTGCTGCTCAACTTTACTTATACTTGGAGAGGCACAACATACTGGATTGTTTCCAGTTGGGTTTCTGCCCAGGACGCAGCTGAAACTGCCTTGACCAAAGTCGTAAACGACATAACAATGGCAACTGATGCTGATAGTATGATTGTGCTAATGCTTCTATTTTGAAAACTTTCTACACTGGTGCCACAGAGAGCATCCTAACACAGAGCTGCACATCATGGTTGGGGAATTGCTCAGTCCAAGATCACAAAGCCCTGCAGAGATTTGTGCGTTCAAGAGAGCACATATTATGGTCAACTCTCTGCAGGATATCTACTGTACACCAAGCACTACAGGACCAGGGCAATTAAGATAGTTGGGGATCCTACCCACCTGCTCAACTCAGGCAAGCCTCTGAGCAGCCTAAGGGCAAAAACTGAATGGCTCAAGAGGAGCTTTTACCCCCAGGTCATTAGGATCCTGAAGTCTGACATACCAACAAACATCCAAACCTAAAACTCATACACACCCACTGTAACTCACTGCATGGTCACTTTATATTTGTCAATTTATGTTATACTTAAGTTAATTCCATTATCTCTCCCATTAATTTATTATTTTTATTTAATTCTTTATTATTTTTATTAATTTATTACTTTGCTTTGTTTTGCTCAATCTTGGAGCAGAATAGCTTTTCAATTCACTGCACGTTGTACCAGTACTGTATGTACCTATATATGTAAGGATTAAACTCTTGAATCGAATAAAAATTCCTCTGAGCATTAAAAAAATGGAAAGTACCCAGCAAAAGATGAAGCTGAAGTTCATTATACTCAGTGTTTTTTTAAGTATGTGTAAAAAAGTTTTTCATGTAATTTTCAATTTCACTTTGATGACTCACCTACAGTATTCACATCCAGTGCAGTGACTGAAATTTCAGCTCCAATCAATCCAAACAGAAGTGGCTGGAAGACAGTCCAGCCCATCCCAACAAATCCAGCCACGGGGATCTAACACATCAAACAGATGAGAACAGCTAGAGATATCTGGATATTTTCACAGAACCATTTCAGTCAGGGAGAACCAGCAGTGAGTGAGAGACTGATAGAGTATCACAGCACCAGCTTTACACTGACCTTTGACTCCCGCCAGCTCAGTCCGGCCAGGAAGGCCATGACCAGGGTACAGAGACCCCCGGCCCCCGAAAACCCCGCAATGCGGCTCCCAAAGACCGCCAGGACAGAGAGACCCAACAGCAGGAAGGCACGCCTCATCACCAGCTGTGCCTGGGGCAGCAAGATTGATAGGTGAATATACTTTAATGTAACAGCATCACACTGCAAAATATCCTTCCTAAAAATGTTATATTATTTAAAGGCCCCCTTGTCACTTTCTGGAGTACAATGGCTAGGTAAGAGTAAAAGAATCTAAGCTGTAAGTAAATACTTGTGTTGAATCAGGTATCACCGTGCTGTCAGAGTGAATCACTGGGCCTGACAGCTGTACCTGGTCTGCGCTTGGAAAAAAACGAAGGAAGAATCCCAAGACCAGCCCAATGGTCAGGCCTCCAAGCACCTCCAAGATGCCTTTGAGCAGGCTGCTCCAGGTGGAGCCTGCAGGGGAGTCGTAAAGAGGATTCCTGTTTATACACAACTGAGAAGTCAGAATCAAACAGGATCAGTCAGCTATTAAAGGGCTGAGACACAAACCACCCCCAAATATAGACTGTGTCAGGAATTTGCATGTCATCCTTGCAGCAGGAACATGCCAATCTTGTCTGTATCGTTCCAATTTTTATATATGTGCTGCCATAGCTATACGACATGAACCCACTACACATATTGCATTGTACAATCTTACCAAAAACAGTGACTAGTCATCCAGTACAGGGTGATGGTGAGAAGCAATAAGACAAAGATCTAACAGGGATGAAGAGAAACACAGAGCACTAGCATAATCTCATCCTTTCTGTGACTGTACCTGTGGCAAAGGCCATGCCCAGGCAGGCGGAGAAGCCCGTGATGGCCAGGATGTCATCAAAGCTCCCCGCAGCCATCAGCAGCGTGGGGATCCCCTTCTCTACCCCAAAGCCTTCCTTCTGCAGAAGCAGCATGGAGGGAACCACCACTGCTGGAGACACTGCGCTGAGCACAAACCTGCAGAGGAGATGGGAAGTGCTGATCCAGGAGGTGGGCATTCTGAGGAAGGCTAGGGCTCAGGTTTACTGCCATCCATGAATGCATCTGAATGCTTTGCCAGGAATTGAACTTTCACATTCATTTTGTGTTTATTCTGAAAATGGAAGCATATTTTAGCCCTTCCGACTATATGAAGTGAATGTGAGTCCATCTGCACTCAAAGAAAGGTCCAGAAGCCTTGGAATGTGTTTCCCACTATGGTGGCATTCTTACCCTAGAAGGAAACTCCAGATCCAGGGCAGACTCATCAGGAAGTGAGACACTACTGCTACAGTGCAGGCTTCCACTGTACAGGGCCCCACTGCGACACGCACACACACTGCCTTCAGCTTCCTCAAGGCCTCAGGAAAGAAAACGGTTAAATAATTTTTTACCCCATACCTGGTGCTTCTACACAGCCTGTGTTCTGTACACAACACAATCCCACCCGGTCGCTTCAGAGACCCCGCCATAGACACTCCTCCTTCTCCGTTCTGCTTCCCCTTTCTCTCCTCCTCCTGTCCTGTCTATCATGCTGACTGGCTGGAACAGTCCACCTTGTTTTTTCCCTTTTACAGAACTGGGGCTGCCACTGGCTTTTATATCAGCACACAAAGAATAGACAGCTAGTGGACTGTGAGGAGAGATTGGCTGAATTTGACAAAATGTGTATTGGATTAAAATTGCATACCCTACATTTAATAAAGCCATCAATCAATCCATCATCTATCCATCCATCCATCCACCTAATCATCTACATGATCAAAGAGGATATGGTCCCCCAAAATATTCCCCTTTTACATACCAACGCATCAAGCCCCAGTCCAGCTCTGGTCAAAATGATGGCGAGGGCAATGTTTCTCAAGGCAGTGGACCATCTGCTATCGATGTAGACAGCAGAGGTGATATAAGGCACATTACGAAGGACGAGCCCAGCCAGTAGCATTCCTGTGGCCACATAAAACAGATGCATATGCAGATGACCCCTTCCCAGCACCGAAACGGGATGAGCGGTCATTGTTATTCAAATGAAGGTTATATGTCTGAGTACTGTTCCGTCTCCCTTAAGAAGAGGTCTATATATTTCAAAATCCCTGCACATCATACATGTTGTTTTCAAAGCCATTCCAATCCTCCTTCTTCCCTCTAGGGGCCTATATCACGTAGCCGGATTCCTTGCTTAGCTGGGTAAATTTGAGGCTGATGCTGCTTTTCCACTGGCATACTGGAACCGACCCTCACCCGAACCGCACCACGAAGAAAGACCTATTACAGCGTGGTTCCAGCTTGCTGCAGTTTTGCACTGCAGGAGGCTTAGCTTGGTAAAGATGTCGTGGGGTTTGGAGGGCGTCGTAAAACCGAAGAAATGCTTCTTTACTGTTCACACAGTGTACATTATGATTTACTATCTGCGATTTTTTTTTTTTTACCGCAAGCTAATTTCTGCCAGCACGTGACCTGCTTTGGCAAACTAGTACTAGATTTTCTGATCAATCCAGACAAATGTGATATCAGACCAATCAGACCCCTGAGCTGATCAATAATTGGCAAAAAAAATGATTTTGTGTACCAATCAGCCACTGGCCACACCCAAACTATACCTTAATCGCAGCAATTTTAAATAGACAGCAATAACTCGGTGATTCCTTGGCCAAATTTAATGCCCTACCACCCAGGGCCAATTTGGGGAAGTAGAATAAGACTGGCTACTCATCATCAATGTGGGCACTACAACTAACCACCACCAGCCAGGCCAAACCTATACCTTTGTCACACCCAGTCCTATCAGACAACTCATGCAGGCTTCAGCCAATCCTCACCAAACTTAAGGGCATAATGTAGTAGGGGACTGCGGATGGACTCTCCAAATTTGGCATCAAGGGGGCACTACGTCAATTGAACATGTCTCTAAATCAGAAACTAACATTTCCATCATTTCTTTTTGACCACCATATAGATGCTAAAAATCCTATGTTCTGTGTTTAAATTCTTTAAAAAGGTCTAAATCCAAATTAAAAACTGTGGGGTGTCCTAAAGAAGGCTGTGCACAAGAGATGCCCTCTCAATCTGACAGATTTGGAGAGCTTTTGCAAGGGAGAGTGGGCAAATATTGCCAAATCAAGATGTGGCAGGCTGATAGACTCCTACCCAAATAGACTGAATTCTGTAATTAAATCAAAAGGTGCTTCAACAAAGTATTAGTTTATGGGTGTGAACACTTATGCAACCCGATTACTGTACGTTTTATATTTTTTATATTTTTCCCCCAAACCCCATATAAGGTACAGGGTCCGTTGCTGCAGGTTCCTGTGTAAATGGAGCAAGAGTTTGGTTTGTATTGCCAGCAGTATGTCAGACTTTTTTCCGGTGGGTGTTGGACTCCACCAGGGCTGCCGCTTCTCACCAATTCTGTTTAGAACTTTTATGGACAGAATTTCTAGGTGCAGCCAAGGGGTGGAGGGCATCTGGTTTAGGGGCTTCTGGGTAACGTATCGGCTTTTTGCAGATGATGTGGTCCTGTTGGTGTCACCGGGCTGTGACCTGCAGCTGGCACTGGGGTGGTTTGCAGCTGAGTGTGAGGCGGCCGGGATGAGGATCAACACCTACTGAGGCCATGGTTCTCAACCAGAAAAGGGTGGGTTTCCCTCTCCTGGTGAGGGATGAGCTGCTGCATCAAATGTAGGAGTATCTCGGGGTCTTTTTCACGAGTGAGGGAAGAAGGGAGCGAGAGATTGAGATGGATCGGTGCAGCATCAGCAGTAATGTGGACGCTATACCATTCTGTTGTGGTAAAGACAGAGTTCAGCTGGAAGGCAAAGCTTTCGATTTTCCAGTCAATCTACGTTCCTACCTGGTCATGAGTTTTAGGTAGTGACCGAAAGAATGAGATTGTGGATACAAGAGGTACATTTCCTCCACAGGGTGTCTGGGCTTAGCCTTAGAGAAAGGTTGAGGAGCTCGGACATTCGGGAGGTGCTCAAAGTAGAGACACGGCTCCACTGCATCAAAAGGAGTCAGTTGAGGTATCGGGCATCTATTGAGGATGCCTCCTGGATGGCTCCCTGGGGAGGTGTCTCAGGCATGTCCGAAACTCTCATTCCCCTGTGGAGCTGGAGGAACTGGCTGGTGAGAGAGAGGTCTGGGCATCCCTAGTTAGACTGCTGTCCCTGTGACCCAACCCCATATAAGCGGCACATAATGAATGAATGGATGAATGGATCGATGGGTGCAATATTCCTTCTACCATTCAGGCCAGAAAAACGATAAAAGATACAGGTTGGGTGGTGCTATAGAACCTATATTCTATAGGAACTTATACAGTAATTTAGACATTTTAAAGCCAAAGACACAGAAAATGCCCCCATACATAATACACATTCATTTACAGACATACAGAAACATTTGATGTAAAATTGTGGCTAAAGCATCTATTCAGGTCATAGTCCTTGGACACTGAAAATCGCCACCCACAGCTATATTTATACTTATTTATATTTTACAATAATTCTCTTTTCCTTTGCATTGCAATATGTATCCTTGTTGTGATCAATGCTTATATGATTCACTGATCATCTACTCTTTGATCAGTGTGAATAAAAGTGAATGCAGGATTCCCCTTAGCCTAAATATAGTAGGCACCATTTACAACTTTATTATTAATAACACTAACAACAATAATAATAGTAATAATAATAATAACAAAAACAATAATAGTTGTTGTTATTACAAACTTTCAATGCATGCTGATGGCATTCTCTTGTAATATATGTGTGCTGGCAGAGGTTGATAGTTCTGGTCCAGAAAGTAAAAATCCAGACCAAGGTTTTGTTTCAACCAACCAACTGAGTATTGTGTGAATGTGACTCTTTATACTGAACTGGTTGGTTGAAACAAATTCTTGGCCTGATTTTTACTTTCTGGACTACCCACCTCAGTATTGTAGATGGAATAGTATGAACTGGGAATAAAACCCCAAATGCCAGCCACTTTGTTATCTGTGTACTCTCCATTCTGCTACCCAGAGGTCCAACTTTGTTATCTGTGTACTCTCCATTCTGCTACCCAGAGGTCCTGCCTATAGCACTCTAATTCATCTGATATCCATGAAGGTCTCAGAATTCAAGTAAATGTTTCCACACTGGTAATGAGACTACAAATGTCATGCACATTTTACATTAACATAGTAAATTATTAGTTAATTTTGAATTGGATGCATTGATGTCACTTACCGAGGAGGGGGGGGAAAGGGGGCAGGGGGGCACACTGGATGAGAGCCATGAGCTTTCCCCCGCAGACGGCGGTAATAAATAACACCACGATCCCAAAGAGATTCCCCCCAGGTAGACACTCCTTCTCTGTGATGGACCACACTGCTCCGAACAGCACAAGCGCCATGGCCACTAACAGGAACATCACAATCTCGTGTTTTAGGCTTGCACAATGTGTGATGCAAAATTATTTTGCAAAAAAATGACACTTAAGCATACAATAGCTTCTAAAGTAGAGTTCCCAAGAGTCACATTATGAGATTAATTTGCTAAAATCTGCATTGTAGTGAAGAGCTGTGACTTTATTATTTTAAAGATTAAAGGCATAATTATTTCTCCCAAAAAAGCTACAAATAAAGCAGTAAACATCAAAATGTGAGATTTGAGAATGTTACCTTAGCGATCTAACTGGATTTAAGAAATCTATACTTTTCAAGCTGAAAACAAGTGAAGAACACACACTGCAATGTTTCTTACAAATAAATACCATTAAATGAATAATCCATGCCTGAGATATAAAAAGTGGTTCTATCCATGCAAAAAAAAGTTAACAGCACAACACTAAGACAATGTAATTTAAAACTATGAACCTCAAAAATGCTGATTGTTTCAATTCCTGTATTCCACACATATAAAGGATAAAGTGGCTTAGGCGGTTGACTCTGACATAAAGTCCATGGAGCCTTACAAAGCTAAATCAGTTTGTTTTGAAGAGCTTCACACATAAACTGTGGTACCTTTTGTGATGATGACGGCGAGCAGGCCTTTCTGCAGATGAGTGCAACTCTCCTTCATTCTGCTGCAGCATCTGTATTTCAGTTTTACACCAGCCATCTTTCGTCATTCATCAGTAATCCAAGAAGGATCCTGAACAGGCATGAAGGGTAATTCATGAGTTCCATTTATGAAGGTTCATTCCTCAGAGAAAATAAGTCCCAGCAGATGAGTTTTGCATAACAAAGACTCACCGAGGTAAGAAGTAGTGCATGCGAGTGCTTTCTGTTGCCAGCAAAGTTTACATACTTCTTCAGATCTCAAGACACAGTACGCTAGCAAACTAAAAAGTCACACAGCACTGTACAACACAAAAACAGCAAAATGGCAATACAAGAGCATCAAAATCATGTACTGTGGGAACAAAAAACACAACAATGCCACATCTCTGCAATTTATAGAATATTTTTTTAATCATTTTGAAGGCTTGGTGAACTGTTTTGCATGTGGTGGCTAACAAGGTGATCACATACATATATTGTTTTGGGTGTAAAATTATTACAACAGGAAACTACATACAGTCTATATTGACCAACAACATTAAAGCAACTGAAAATTGTGCCAAATAATGGCAATTGTGAAAAAACATTTGCATATATGTATTATATCAGTACTCACACATGCTTAGGCAGCCAGGCAGTTTTCACCCTCATGGATTTTGCTTCTTGCTGGTGTCTGAAGTGACTTATTCACTTGTAACCCTGCCACATTTTATTGTCTGAAAACAGACTTTGAACTTTGCTTTACACCATTATAACTAACCACACACTGCTGAGACAAAGCCAAGTACACTGTGAGAAAAAAGAGCACAGTTTTGTTCTCTAAGGGGCAAATAACATCAATGTACCCACATTCGTACAAAAATGTTCCTCAGAGTTAATTTCTGTACCTTAAATTAGACTAAAAGGTTAATTTAGCTAGTTACATACATTTGGCAGACCCTGGACGGTACAGCCCCAGTGACAAGTAACTGCACCCTCAAAGGCACAAACTGGCACAGCCCCAGTGACAAGTAACTGCACCCTCAAAGGCACAAACTGGCACAGCCCCAGTGACAAGTAACTGCACCCTCAAAGGCACAAACTGGCACATTACATACAGCAGAACATCAAAGAATTCTGCTTCTGCAGCCATCAACACAAGAAATAAAGATAAAGTGGAAGTATGCTGCTGAGCTCAATTCTGAAAGACACTCAGTTCCCATTTTCTCATTGTCACCGACTGATCATTTTTCTTTAGCAAACCAGGAGGACTGTTCTACAGCGGAAAAAAACAGTCGCAGATAAGCTTAGAAGCAGAATATCCATGATGGTGTTCTCCAGAATACTTCCCATGACATGCACAAGCCAGGCTAAGTTAGCTGAGATGAGGAGATTACACGCGTGGCTAAAAGGTCAGTGTAGGAAAGAGGGGTTCAGGTTTATGGGGCACTGGGGGACCTCCGGGAACAGATGGGACCTGTTCAAGCTGGATGGGTTGCATCTGAACTGGAGGGGAAGCTGTGGGTTACCTCTGTGTTTGGATACAAGCTTTTTAATGTTTTAGAAGAGATGGAGAAGGGAAAAGCGACAGAAAAGGGACTCTACCAGGAGAAATTAAATCCCAACACCAAGCTACCATATTTGGACAAACTAAAAACAATAAACGACATAGATCCGTATGACTTGCCAGCAGTAAATTGGATTATGGACCCCGACGCACTGCCTCTACTCACGTACCTGGACATTATAAATTTCCTTGTATTTAGAATAAGTGCATATACTTTGCATGAGTTGAAGAGTTATAAATCCCTTGATATTCTACATATCTATTATACATATACACATACGTTGAATAATACATATATATATATATATATATATATATATACACACACACAGAAAACACACACTAGAAACAAATGTCATTCCAAGTCTTTAATATTCTCATATAAAAAGATACACAATAGTGTCTTCATTGAAACCATCCAAAATAAAGTTAATTTACTCATGTGAGGTGGCCTGGCAACAAAAACATCAACCATGAACTGATTGACAGAAATTGTCCTAACAGTCAAGTCACCTTTTAAAACAGGGATGAGATACAAATGATTTGGGAGCTGCAATTACATGATATCTTTGTTCAGCCTTCACGATTATGATAACTGCACAGGCATGGGACTACTATAAGGGACAGAGTTACAACAGTACACTAACCACGACACCTGCATAGGGCTGCAGTGTACCCGAACAATCCAGCACCAGGACAAACATCTGTCAGAGCACATTGCCTGTGACAATTTTGGCTAAGAATGTCACATTCTCACCTTCACAGGGCAGAACCATACTCATTGGAATTTTGGAAAACAGCAATTTGTATTTGCTGCGTACATGACGGATAACACTCTGTCCTTTAGGACAGGCGAAAAATACGTATTCTATTGTCCAGTTTTCTCTCTGAATGTTACCTACTGTTCTTAACGCAGCGGGTCTGACCTGCCTTGGCGACTTTTTTCGGAATCATAACAGAAAACCAAAACACGAACCCCGACACAGTGATTGTCTTAAAACATGGGGCATAAACAGATGTTACTATAGTGATGTGCGAATCACGAACGAACTTGTCTTTTCGAAGGGTCTTTAAAGTGAACTGAACGAACCAAAATGATTCCAACCACTGTACACGCATGCGCGGAATGCCTGCTAAGTCTCTGCTTGTGAGCATAAGATCGCCGGTTCGAGCCCAGCCTCAGCACATCTGCGGGTCCTTCAGCCGCAAGCGGTGGCTGCCCTTCGCCACCAGCTTGCTGTCACCAACAGAAAGCAAGTTGAAGGAGGTGTAAAAATAATTTCCCCACGGAGATTAATAAAGTATCTATTATTATTATTACTGACGTTCGCGTCGGTCCAAGTCAGCAATTCGGGAAGCAGCCTATCACTAAACAGCATGAGACAAACAGCCGTGACGACATCCAGCCATAGCTGGCACGCAAGCTCACCAAGCACCTTCCACTAACTGTACAGCTCCACTGACTTGAGATCAGTGACTACATTGGCATCGCGCTCTGTCTGATCACAATGACCACCACTCGATCTGAGCGCCCCCACTGGCCCGAAGTGTTACTGCAGTTCAGAACGATAAGCTGAACTGGAAGACCCCCTGATTACAATAGTCATCGGGTCCAGTCGTTCACCAGTTCTTTCAGCGTCCCCATGGAGATTTTTTCGGGTCTTTTTCGCTCACCGGGTCTTTTCATTCACTCGTTCATTCAGTGGTTCTTCGGTTCACCAGTTCACTTGGTTCACATCGTTCACTGAACCTTCCGGTTCACTGGGCCTTTCGGTCGTTCTCTGAGTCTATGGGCGCTACACGTATTATGTAGTGCAGTGACATCTATTGGCCAGAATAAGTATTGCCACGAGTGAGGATCGGTTTGTACGGCAAAATGTTGACTAATAAAACTTGTGATCGTTAACGTGTGAATATTCTGTATATTTATTTGTAGCCTATAGTAATAAATAATGTAAATAAATAAATAAACTGTTGGTGCTATGCGTTAATCGTATAAATATATATTAAATATATAGCCTGCTGTAGCGTGTATATACTTGTGAGCTAATTGGAATGGGCTAAATTATAATTATGATAAATACACGCATATATACATACACAGGTATACATCCACACTTATTTCTACGCCACACACGCACACACACATAACCAATAGTACACACATACTGTACAAAGGTAGAGGCATACAGACATGCTTGGTAAGAAGTTGTAAAATTGTAATGTGTTGCATGTGGTTGATGTTATTATTGTTCTCATCGCGGTTGCAGCTGCAGTTGTTATCAATGTTAATGCTGCTACTGTTGTTAATGTTGCCGCTCGATCGTCGTTGTTCTTTTATTATTATTATAGTTTTGTTTTCTTTGCATTGTTTATTATTTTTTGTGCGGCAATCTTTTTGGTCCTTTTTTTCTTTATTTGTTACCCCTAACCTCTGCTTGTCTTCTTTATATAAAAAAGAAATATAAAACCTCAATGGAAAGTTAAAACGAATGCTTTAAACTCTAAGCATGATAATTTCAAGTTTTTATTTTTATTTAATTATCTTAAATTTTTGCGTTTGCTTAACACAAAACTTTGGTGCTTTTGTTTTTGCATGAATCTCCAGTGCTGTTTTTCCTTCATATTTAACTGAAATTTTGGTTGGACACAAAACAGGAGTGGCGGAGAACGGGGAGGGGCTGTTCCACAATGCAATCTTTTTTCATTAGCCAAATTACTTAAGCCAAATATAAGGATTGTCCAAAAGGAATGTCGCTTACCTCTCCGCCTCTTGGATAGTTTTCACGTTTGTATCGTTTTATACAAACGTTTTATATCATTAATTGCAAACTGTGTCATACTCTGCAAGAGCATTGATTAAATGTTTTAGGCAGTCTCACATGGCTGTTGTATCAAATGAACACAGAAAACATAAACAATATGTGTATCTACACATGGTAATTAAAACTGCAGTATCATTAGTGCATCTCAGCAAGCAGGAATGCCATAACAGGAAGATAAATCATATTCATTGGCTTTTACTGTAAGTCTTCTGGATGTGTGGTAGCTTGGTTTCTGCAGTCCCAATGGTGTCAAATTGAACCGTCACTTGTCACAGATGGCACAGCAACTGGGTCTTCTGGACTTTCTGCATTCAGTATTAATAAGTGTACTTCATTTAGCATTATTTTATAATATAGAATTAAAAAGATCAAATATACAGCCTATTGACATCTGAGCAACCCACAACTTTCTTAAATTCTATTCATATACTGTATTTTAATTTAGCTTTTTTTTTTTTTTAACAGTTACCCATTTCTTGCATGTCTAAAGGATTGTTTTCTCTTGCAAAATTCACACAGGCCTTGTGTCAGGTGGTCATGTCAGGTCCAGAAAGTAAAAATCCAGACCAAGATTTTGTTTATACCAACCAGTTGAGAATAGAGTCACAGTTACAGAGCACTCAGCTGGTTGGTTGAAACAAAATCTTGGTCTGGATTTTTACTCTCTGGACCTGAAATGTCCACCTCTGCTGTAAAGCTTGTGTGTAAGTATGGTCACCTTCTGGGCGTGGGTTTTCTGGTGAGGTGGTTGTGGACCTCTGCAGCAGCCGTGGGCCGCCCAGGCTGATGCTCAGAGCCCCTATGGGAGCAGTGGTGAGGATGGCCAGCACTGTCACTGTGAGGATGTCCATGCCAAACTTCTCTAGGACAGCGTCCCCCTGAGCTCGGGCCATGTCCAGGGCCGTGGAGCCAATGGCAGCCTCAATATGAATTCAGTTGTTAAAAATAATCCATAATCGGCGTAAGACACTCAACAGTTAATACGAGTAATAAGAAAATATCTTCCAGCAGCTGGAGGAACATATTGTATTACCAAGAGTTCTCTTACGAAAATTAGAATTTGGTGACCAGTGTTGACACACCACAGCACACAGTGCACAACAACAAAATGTGTCCTCTGCATATAACCCGTATTGTGACATTGCAGGGGGCAGCTAATTCAGCGCCCGGGGAGCAGTGCTTGAGGGCGGTACCTTGCTCCGGGTACCTCAGTGGTACCTTGCTAGTCTGGGATTTGAAGTGCGCTTCCCTAACCATTAGGCCACCACTGCCCCATACTAGTTAGTGTAATACAATGCATTATATAAAGAAAATGGCAGATTTATTAAGAGCATTTCTTACAGCTCCTCCATGTCTGGAACGGATTACGTTCACTCAGATGGATGTGTATTGTCTTCAGTTTTCAAACAGATCAAAGTAAAACACACCTGTACTGTTGCCTTTGGGAGCCAAGCCAGAGCGATGAAGACCTTCTCCTTGAAAGTGAAGCCCGCAAACAGGACCATGGTGAAAGTGAACAGAACTCGTACAACGAGCCCAGTGCTGAGAGCTGCTAGACCCAGAGCTGAAGGCACAGATGTTCAGGGTTTGGGCAGGTTTGGACAAGGGTTATACAGCCAGTGACAGGGGAAGGAATCAGAGAGCAGGATATAATCCACAGTGTCCTTTCTGTACTTCACATTATTCAATAATAGATATATTCATTTGTTGTACTGACCCACAGTGTTCAGATCCAGGGTGGAAATTGTAATTTCTGCACCAATCAACCCAAAAAGCAGTGGCTGGAAAACATCCCAGAATCTCCCAACGACAGCTGCCACAGGAACCTGCATGGATTATGGGATCTAACATGACTCCCAGAAGGGGCTTCAGACAAACTCACCAGCCTCGTTTATGGAACCAAACTCACATTATCATTATTACTATATCATCATTATAAGTCATTATTTAACTACTAAATTTAAATTTTAAATGGCCCATATAAGAAGTTGTTCCTCTATATCAAGGTCAATGCCTGTATTAAATGCTTACACAGCACTTTATTCTCATTAATTTCCCACAGGCCAAGAAACCCATAGGTAGAGATCCCTGGGAAGTGGGGGTGTTTGCAGTCTGATGATGGCACCTCTGGGTCCCACCAGCACAGTGGACAGGCGGCTATGTGCTCACGGTGCGATCAGAGCTTCAGGAGAAACCCCAATGATACAGAGCTTCAGGAGAAACCCCAATGAAACAGAGCTTCAGGAGAAACCCCAACGATACAGAGCTTCAGGAGAAACTCCAACGATACAGAGCTTCAGGAGAAACCCCAACGATACAGTGCTTCAGGAGAAACCCCAACGATACAGAGCTTCAGGAGAAACCCCAACGATACAGAGCTTCAGGAGAAACTCCAACGATACAGTGCTTCAGGAGAAACCCCAATGAAAAAGAGCTAGGAACAGCTACTCACCCCACCTGCTGCCACAGTCTTAACTTCACACTGACCTTTGACTCCCGCCAGCTCAGTCCGGCCAGGAAGGCCATGACCAGGGTGCAGAGACCCCCGGCCCCCGAAAAACCCGCAATGCGGCTCCCAAAGACCGCCAGGACAGAGAGACCCAAGAGCAGGAAGGAACGCCTCATCACCAGCTGCCCCTGGAGCAGGAGAAAAGGAGACAGCATGTAACCCAACACAATTTCTCTCATAGAAGCGTTGCGGCTTGAAAAATAAATACAGAGTAATACAGAATAAAGAAAGTGTCCGAGGCAAGTACCTGATCCTCACTGGGAAAGAATCGGAGAAAAAAACCCATAATTGCACCAGCAATCAGGCCAGCAATCACCTCCAGAATGCACTTGAGTACATTGTACCAGGTAGCCCCTGCACAGAGCAGCCAGGTGTGTTAAAGCAGGACACAGCGAGCGTAAGGCGTAAACCCCACTACGTCATGAAGCAGAACATAAAAAGCCCAGCACATCAAGGCATGTCAGGGTACAGGCTTTTAACCATGGGAGGGTAAATGCTGAATCTGTGTTGAGATTCAGCAAAAACAAAATCAATACATAGCCTGTTTTATGTAACTTTGATGTGAGCTGAACAATTAAACATGTCATGCACAACAAATGATGGCTTGAATAGAAACTGTACCTGTGGCAAAGGCCATGCCCAGGCAGGCGGTGAAGCCCGTGATGGCCAGGATGTCATCAAAGCTCCCCGCAGCCATCAGCAGCGTGGGGATCCCCTTCTCTACCCCAAATCCTTCCTTCTGCAGAAGTAGCATGGAGGGAACCACCACTGCCGGAGACACTGCGCTGAGCACAAACCTGCGGAGGAGATGGGAAGTGCTGATCCAGGAGGTGGGCATTCTGAGGAAGGCTAGGGCTCAGGTTTACTGCCATCCATGAATGCATCTGAATGCTTTGCCAGGAACTGAACTTTCACATTCATTTTGTGTTTATTCTGAAAATGGAAGCGTATTTTAGCCCTTCCGACTATATGAAGTGAATGTGAGTCCATCTGCACTCAAAGAAAGGTCCGGAAACCTTGGAATGTGTTTCCCACTAGGGTGGCATTCTTACCCTAGAAGGAAACCCCAGATCCAGGGCAGACTCATCAGGAAGTGAGACACTACTGCTACAGTGCAGGCTTCCACTGTACAGGGCCCCACTGCGACACGCACACACACTGCCTTCAGCTTCCTCAAGGCCTGGGGAAAGAAACCGAGGCAAATCTGCAGAATCTCTGCTTTATGTGTGTTTATCGGTGTAAGACACTCAACAGTTAATACGAGTAATAAGAAAATATCTTCCAGCAGCTGGAGGAACATACAGCACCGTCCAGTCCCAGCCCAGCTCTGGTCAGTATGACAGCAAGGGCAGTATTCCTCAGGGATGCTGACCATCTGAAGTCAATGTAAACTGCCTCAGACACCACAGGAACATTGTGTAAGAGAACACCAGCCAGCAGCATTCCT